CCAGAAAGCCTCTCCCAATCTGGGACATTTCTAATTGTTAGGGGGCTTTTCCCGATGGGCCCAAATCAGCCTCTTTGAACTTTCAACCACTGCTCCTGGTTCTGCTCTCTGGGGTCTAAAAGAAGAAACCCAATCCCTCCTATTTGAAGACAGCTATTTTATTGATCAATAAACATTTATTAAGTGCCTTCTATGTGTCAGGCACTGTGCTAAGAGCTGGGGATATAAAAAAGAGCAAAACAAACAAACAAGCAACAAACAGTCCCTGCCCTCCAGGAGCTCACAATCTAACAGTCCTTCCTGAATCTTCTCTTCTCCAGACTAAAGGTGTCTAGTTTCTTCAGCTAAATCTCTTAAGACATGGACTCAAGCTCTTTACTATCCTAGATGCTCTCCTGTGTACAATCTCCCCCTTATCAATGTCCTTCAATTGTTGTGCCCAGAACTAAATAGGATACTTTAGATGAGGTATTATATAGGCAAATATAAGTGAGACTGACATCTTCCTATGCCTGGAAGCTAAGTTTCTCTTAAAGCAGCCTACCTGGCATTAGCTTTTTTGGCTGCCACCATCACACTGCTGACTTATTTTGAGCTTGCAATCCATTAAAACCTTCAGATCTTTTTCAGAACAACCTCAGTCTAACCATACTTCCCCCATATTGCACTGGTGAAGTTGATGCTTTTGTACTCAACATGTAATACTTTTTCATTTATCCCTACTGGATTTCATATTACTTAGGCCAATGTTCTAACTTCTCAAGATTTTTTTGGATCTAACTACATCTCCATTGTGTTAGCTATCTCTCTCTGCTTTGTCTTACCCAGTTTTATCTTTATTCAGGTCACTGATAAAAATGTTAAATAGCTTGGGAAGAAGCACAGAGCCCTGGATACCCCACTGGAGATTTACTGCCACAATGACATTGAACCATTAAGAATTATTCTATGAGTTTGGCCATCCACCAAGTTCTGAATTCATCTAAATGTACTACTCTCTAGTCCAGGGCTTCTTAAATTTTTTCCACTCCTGACCCCTTTTGGGGTTTTGGTAGCCTTAGTTGGTGTTGTGTGGCCTGAGGGCATATGCAGTGCAAAGTGTCGCATGCTTTGTGTTCAGAACCCAGGCTTCAGAGAAGTAGCTGGAAGCAACTCGGGCAAGCCCTGCAAGAAACACATTGGATTCATTACAAGTTTGATTTTGAATTAATTTTTGGTCGCTGTGCATTCAGAAACCTTTTACTGTTGCCAAATTTTTCGTGACCCCATATGGGGTCGCCATCCACAGTTTAAGAAGCGCTGCCTGGTCCACACGTCTCTATCTAATCCACAAGGGTTATATGGGATACTTCTTCAGGTTTGCTAAAATCTACACGAACCCTTATCTACAGCATTCCCTTCACCTACTAGTCTAGTAATCCTATAAAAAAAAAAAAAAGGAAATTAGGTTAGGCTGGTATGACCCATTCTTGATGAAGCCATGTTGGCTCCTGGTAATCACCTTTCCCCTTTATAGATATTCACCAAGCATCTCTTTAATAATTTATTCTAGGATTTTCACAGGAATTAAAGTCAATTTCATTGGCCTGAAGTTTGCAGAATCTGTTTCCTAGGATAAAAGTTTTCCAGTAATTAGTCATCAATTTAAAGCAAGACATATATCTTTAAATTAAAAGCCTTTTGCTACAAAGTTTCATAAAGCCACTCTGCATATCATATTCTTCCAACGATATAAACTTTCTGCTGTTGAAAATGTTACTGAACAACATAAAGTAAAGAGGTACCTCACATCTCTTCCTCCTACACTAGCTGCAGGAGACTACCAGGACTGTGCCATATAGTAGTTTAAGGATGTTGAGTGCTGGGTTCTACCTCCCCATGTCATGATGAGTCACAGCAGTGGACTGGAGGCTATTATAGAACTGGATAATTTTATTTTTCAACACATATGCAAGGCAGACCGAAATGGAGATGAGGCATATGTCCTAGAGAACACTAAGTACTAACATTTTAGTATATTACTGCTTTTGAATAACTATTACCTATTAACAGCATAGAAAGGGAAAAAAAAGTACATATATAAAGTAATCAGAAGAAGTCTCAATTACAGAAAAGTTTGGTATTCTTTATTGTCTAATGTGGATGTTAGCAAATCAACAAACAATTAAAATTGATTTTCATGGAATGGTAAGTCTGCTGTATGTCATATTAACTAAGGAACAAATGTTCCATTTTATATTTTATGTCTGTGAATATTCATTATACCTGCAACTTCATTTTCAACAACATTTCATGAATTAAAAAGGGAAATCTTTTGTTAATCAAAATACTATCCATATATATAGAATACATTAGAGACTAATTAATGTCTTTACCCAGAATATCTTTCCTTTACACCTACTATCCTTTTTTCTGACATGAACTATCATTTTCATCTTCAACCACTCATTTTCCACTGGTTCCTATTTCTCAGCATATATACATGACCAATATGATGTTCATAATACACCATCACTTTGAAAATCTATCCTAATTTGAATATGCCAATCATTGAGAAACTGCCATGGAAATGGCCCAAATCCATCTATCTCTATTTCTCTCCTCCTCTCTTCCTTGCTCTCTTTCCCCCTAAAAACAAAAAAACAAAAAAACTCGGGGGTGGGGGTGGGGGCCTCCCACGACTCTGTCCTTGGTACTATATTCCTACAAACTATATTAAGAATTTTGGTCCATGTCATCTGATCCCATGGGTTCAAGTACCATCTGTACACAGATTATACACAAGTGCCCAGATACCTAACAAATCTACACTAAATGATCCAATTTTCTAGTTTGTTAATAGAAGGCCATAATAAGAGAACCTTTTTAAATTACATTAAATTCTGTGATAAAAAACATAAATATATTTTAAGACTTTTTTTCTTCTTCAAGCTGAAAGCATCTTAAAAAAATTTTCCAGACAAATCACAAGACTCCTATCATTTATTCCAGCTCCTGTCAAAATGAATCAGCCATTTTGATGCTAGCTTTCCCTCTAAAACAACTAATGCTAAATCTGAAAAGGATTACAAAATACACCAAACAACTGCCAAAAGAGAAATCTACTCATAATTTAAACATAACTGCAATCTTTAAATGTTCTTTTAAAATTGTAATTCTTTTAAAAGTGTAAAATTAGTACCTCAAGAAATGAAAATAATATTTACCTACAGAAAAAGATTAATAAAAGATACTACAAAACCACTTACCATCTATCTTGAACAAATTCAATTCAATTCAATTTAATAAACTAGGATACAAAGACAAAGATGAAACACTCTCTACCCTCACGGAGCTTACCTTCCACTGAGGGGAATAAAACTTGTAGAGAGATAAAGATAAATGATTCATTTTAGGGTCACTGTTTGAAGGAATCAGGAAAGGCTCTGTGTAAAAAGCTCTACCTGATCTGAACCCTGAAGGAAGATTCTTGAAAATGGCTTAGTTTCCAGTTCCATAACTTTAAGGTGAGGAAAACAAGATTGAAGTTGAGTTATTCAAAGTAGCAGGGTCCAGGTCTCCTGACTCCAGTAAGCTGTTAAAGTTAAGCCCGCTTTTGGCTAATATCTAGTTTTTTAAAAAATAATGATCTGAACCAAGCAATTAAGAGATTATCAACGTCTCATCCTTTTTTGGTAAGTTGACTAGTTTTGCCAAATTGTTTTGTTTTTTCTTTTCCCCCCTCTCTCTCTTTTATTCCTCCCTGTTATAAGGGTCAACTCTCTCGGAGAGAGGAGGTACACTGTAAAGTATAAATAATGTAATAAAAATATCAAGAAAATCATTAAAAAATTATCAATGCAAAGAGCCTCGTTCAGTATGCCCGAGGATAAAAGGGGGGGGGGGGAGGAGGGAAGGAGTGACTAGTGAAATTTTTCCTTTCTGATAAATAAGGATAAAGATTTTTTTTTTAGATCAGAATACCAAGTCACATATGAACAACAGATAGGGATGTGAAAGGAGTGGTAAAGCTAGAGACGCAATTGTACAATACAGCATTTATTAAACGCCTACTAGTCTAGGGATAAAAGGTCATGTCTTTAAAATGATCAGATGTTAACATCAAGATTTCAGTACTACAATGCTTCTTTTTTGGAGGTTAACTAGTCATCATTTGATGGACTGCGGGTGAGGGGTTGGGGGAACACTACGGGCTTCCCTTGAATAAGAAGTAAAGGGGATGGATGCTAACACAGTCAACTACAGTGAAATCTTAGCAGCACAACTATCCCAGGAAACCACGCAAGGTTTGTGTAAGAGCAGGGCAGTTCCTTCAGCTAGCTAAAGCCGCATACTAAGGTCACCTGCCTCAACACCTGCCTTCCGACAGCCTTGGGCTTTTAGGAGAAATGGGCCAACAGAGGAGAAAGGAGCACAAAACAAACCAGGTGGGAAATCCAACAGGCCCACACAAAACCCTCGCGAACTTGGGGGGGCCGCACGAGGAATCCTATCTGCAGGCTGCTCACACCTGCGACGCCCCTTTGCTCACTCCCCACTTCTCTGATTCCCCTTTTTCCAAATCTAAAAACAGCGGGTTAAAAATGCGGCTGCCGCCCGCGGCTCTGAACCCAATTTTCCGAATCTAAGGAGCTGGGACCTCAAACGAGGAGGGTAAGAGAACCGCTGGGGCCCATGTTTTTGGAAGCTGAGGCGGGGTCCTCGGAGGGTTGCCCCGCGGAGAGCACGGACTCCCCAATCCATTCGAGGCACGGCGCTCCAGCGGCCTGAGCTGTGCACGCGCCCAAGCTCCAGCCCAGCGGAGCGGAGAGGCCCAGTTGCTAGGAGACAGTGACGCCAGCGGCGCGTCCGCGGAAGGCAGCCAGCGCCTGATGCGCGGGCCCGCGCGCGGGGGGGGACTGACTCACGAAAGGGGCGGAGCAGTCGGACCGTACCAACCCGCCGCGCTCCCCTGCCTCCTTTCCCTTCCCGGGCCGCACCTTGAGGCCTGGGCTACTCACCTTCCCATCGCCGTGAAATGGGAGGCCCAGATTATTCCCGACGAGTTGGGGAGGCTCTTCGGAAGCGACGCCGGCGGCAACTGCCACAGCGGAGGCGGATTCGTAGTCCGCAAAGGGGTTGGGGAAGGCCCGCTCCTCCATCTCTGCCTCCCCTCCCAAATGGAGCTTCAGCCTCTTGGACATGGTCTCGCCCATCTCAACCGCTGCCCCTCCCCCTCGTGCCACGCGCTCTCAACCACACAATCACACACACACTCTCGTGCCGCGCGGCACGGCGGCCTGGCGGGGACAAAAGGCTTCCAGAGGAGGCAGGGAAAAGAGCAACGCTTTTGAGCCCGGGGTATTAGCGGGCTCCTGTCCCCGGGTGTCGCCGCCTGCTAAGGGGAGCAGCCACGGCACAAAAGCGGGCGCTGCAACCAGTCAAAAGAAAAGGGGGGGAGGGCGGGGCTTGCAGGAGGGGATCTGGGCTTCCCAAAAGAGGAAAGACGCCGGGGTCAGGGAGGAGAGCTGAGAGCTGAGCTCTGAGTCCAAGCTGTGGCCGCTGCTTCCCGGCACATGTGGCCGCCTCTTCCTAGGGTCTGCCTGCCCCCGACGGCTGCGTCTGCCAAGCCTCGGCGGAGGGGCCCCTGCCCCGCTGCGCCCTAACACCGCGGGCACACCCTTCCCGTGGCAGCCCCGAGTCCCGGGCGGCGGCGGCGGCGGGCTGCGGGGCGCATCCCGGCTGCAGAGCCTCCTCCCGGGGCAGATGCGGGCGAGCCCCCGACGGGACTCCGCCGACCCGAGCTGCACCAAATCCAAGCAGATGCCAATCCCGAATCAGACTGGCGCCTCCGGGCCCCGGGGTCTGCTGCCCTCTGCAACAGGAGGAAGAATGGTCCCCCACTCCCCGCGAGGAAGGAGACGTGCCCTACGTGGGTACCCCGAGAGAACAATTGGTGGTCGTTCAGGCTTGGGCATGGGTTCTTTAGCAGAGCTGCGAGGTGGGGGAGGAAGAAAAGAACGTGCCGTCCTCCGACTCTCCCATCATCTGTCTGCCTTTATGGGCAGGCTACGGTCTCCTCCCCGTTAAGCCCAGCTTCATTGACATTCAGCTTTCATTCAGACTTAGCCTCCGGGATGAAAGTAGCACTGGCTCGGTCCCGTGCCGGGGTTAGAAAGAAACAGTGGCTTCCAAAGGGGAAAAAAATACACCCAAACAGAGCCTATTCAAGATGCCAATCCGTCCTCTTAGATGAAGAAAAAAAGGCAGGTCTTTGTTTCTGAGTCTTCGCACACCTAAGATTCAGTGTTTGCCTCACAGCCCATGCCACTTTCCGTCTCTTATTTCATGCCCCTTTTCTCCAAACGAAGGCATAAGTCTTGAGCTGCAACCATACTCAGTCTTAAAACACACGCGCATACACACAAACATTTGGACTGCAACCACAGTCTTAAAACACCCGCACACACACATACA